AGCAAAATATAGAGTGGCAGGGGCCCTGGGGTATAGGGGGCCAAAAGGGCAGAAATGAAGGGGTTAAGTGTATGTTACAATTGCAGGACAAACCAGATAGGTAATACAATCAGATGAGTAATTCTACTTTATTGTACTTCCACTGATAGACTTTTTGCAAGATAGAAAGTACAATCCCACTTCTCTTTTACAGGTCTAGAAACTAAAGAGGGCCTCTTCTAAGCCTCCTGCCCTGCCCACTATCATGGACTATATTGTCTTTTATCATCAGTCAGTGTCTCTTTATCCAGACTCCAAAGGTCTTTCTCACATTTGTCGGACCCCCTGCAGCCAGCAACAATCCCCAATCACCCGGTGCGTTCCCACAGACAGGGCCTCCTCAGGGTGCCGTTGGTCAGACAGTGTCGGCTGGCGACCCCCAGGGGGAGAGCTTTTTCTGTGGGCACACCCACCCTCTGGAATCAACTTCCTTTGGAGCTCCGGATGGCCCCTGACCTTCGCTCGTTCCGCCGCGATTTGAAGACCTGGTTCTTCCGCAGCCTGGACTGAGGGAGGTGGGTGGCTTAATGAATTTTAAATTGTTTTAAATTAGAATTTTAATTTTATATTGCTTTTAATGAGGAATTATGCATTTTTACTGTTGTGAGCCGCCCTGAGTCCTCGGAGATAAGGCGGCATATAAATTGCATAAATAATAATAATAATAACATACCATTATAGTGGGAGGGGGAGTTGAAGTACCCCTGTGGTTGTAAGTGTAGGGAACCTGCCAAGTCCTCACATTTTGATTGTCAGGTTTCAGTGTCGTCTCAAATAAAATTGCATTTCCAAACAAATAGGCTTTGATGAAATCTTTCATTTATTAAGCACGACAATCTGTCCCCGATTATATCGTAGCCAACACTGACTTCCTGACCCCAAACCTTCCCTTTCCGTTCCCCAATTCTCTGCATCTCATTGGCCATCTTCTAAATCACTCTCCCCATATCTACTACTTCAGCTCCCAGGAATGTCCCCCCACTCCCATCCCATTTCCTAGGGGATATTATCTTCAGAGAAAATAAGTAGGTGAAAAGTCAAGCGTCCTCTTGCCAGCTGCCCCCTCTTCTCCTCCTTATGTCAGCACTGGAACTAATGCAGTTTGGAGTGCTGACATCAATCACATGACTGCAATGCTGCAGTGCTGCAATGGCTGTTAACTCCTGGGACTGGACATAAGTACATTCATTCAGAACTACTGTAACTTTAAATAGTTGCTGAACAAATGGTCATAACTCAAGGACCTGTATTACACTAATACTGACTAATTCTGTTTTGTAAAGTCCAGAAACAGCTAAAGAGATGTCATTGCAATGGTGCAACATGTATACCAGGCATGTAGGTGAACATTTCCCATGGAAGCTCATAAAAATAATATGAGTAAAAGGCACTGATGAGGCTGAAGAAGTGAACATTTGTACTACAAGCAATTTTTACAAACATTTCACAGAACCACCACCAGTACAATTTATTCTGTGCGAGTTTATGATTTGTAAACACATCTCTTATAAGAGGTGCCGCTAATTAGCCGTCTGTGGCAAGATTACCCCTCATCCAAGCAAATTTATTTGGCCATCAGCAGCTCAACCAAATTGCAATCAAGCAAGGTGTGGTAAACAAAAACAAAATTATTATTTCATTTTTAAGGCAAATGAGAAATCGACAGCTGTTCTTTTTTCTTTAAGCTTCCAGGATACAGCAACAACTATTCTTATTTTTCTGTTTTGTTGTTTGAGTCTTCCCACCATTCTTAATATGTACCATAACCTTCTTAACTCCCCTACTACTGCTAATTTTATTAAGTTGTATTAAATGTTCAGAATATTAATAGCTAATGAGTTGGATGCTGTTAAGATTGTTTAATACAAATAATGCTTGCTTTCAAGCTTATGGGAAGATTTATGTTTTCACATTTCAACTCAATTTCTAAATGAGTTTCTTTATATCATACAAACAACAATGTAATATTGATCAACCTTGTATTCTTGGGAACTTCTTTATTTGTTGTACAACAGATTCAAGGTCCAGGATTAATCCTGGCTACCTAATGAAATGAAAATTACCTAAGAATAATATGCTTGAATAGATAGTGGATATAATAGACATAATTCTTTTTTTTTCCCCTTAGTAAAATTGCTATTGCCTTGTACTTGTTAGATTTACTTTTTATATCATGAATTTATGACATCAATAATATTATTACAGCTATACAGAACTCACAATATACTGGCTTCTTGCATTTATACTCATAAATGCAAGTAGGTAATCAAATAATTCTAAAAAGTTGTATTACAGGCTGTTCACAAAAATTAGATACAGATGACATCCTATATTTGGAAACTATTGTTCACTCATAAAACAACCATTCTTCAAAGGTGCATCACATTTATATCATTTATAATCAGGTTACTTTATTTTTATATCTTAGACTGGTGTGGGGGGGGAATAGTGCCCTGGAACCACATATATTCTCAACTCACTTTCTTTCTACTAGAGCCTCTTTCAGTCACAAGTGGTGGAAACTGAATTCATAGTTTTCATTATTTCGAGGTGAGAAACCAATTAAGCATAGGGTAAGTCTTCACATATATCATACTACAATAGATACATGAGCAACACTGCTGGAAATATGTCAATCAGTCCAGAAAACAGTACCACTTCTAACAGAAGCAACAACCTCAGCAGATGTCAGGCTCAAGCCCAGGGGTGAAATCTAAAATTTGTGGACGTGACTTGGTGGGAGGGGGGGTAATGTGACTGAGTGGGCGTGGCCAACTTTTTTTTTTTTTACTTTTAAAAGCATTTTTTCTACAACCTCTTCAGCTGAAGAGGTTGCAGAAAAAAAATGCTTTTAGAAGCCTCTGACGATCAGGCAACTCAGCTGGGATCGCCAGAGGCTTTTAAAGGCATTTTTGTTTCTACCACCTCTTCGGCCGCAGAGGTTGCAGAAAAAAATGCTTTTAGAAGCCTCTGACGATCCCAGCTGTGCGATCATCAGAGGCTGTTTTTTTTTTCTTTTAAAAGCATTTTTTCGGCCAAAGAGGTTGTAGAAAAAATGCTTTTAAAAGTTAAAAAAACAGCCTCTGATGATCTCGCGGCTCAGCTGGGCATGGGAAGGGGGGCGCAGGGATTTTTGCTACCGGTTCTCCGAACCACCCGCCGCCATCACTACCAGATTGGGTGATCCGGTCCGAACTGGGAGCATTTCACCCCTGCTCAAGGCCCAGAAATGATAGTGAGTTCCACTGGAGTCCAGATCTTTATTTGCTTGTACCTAATAAGCAGAATCTTGCTGGACTAAAGTTATAACCTTCTAACCCAATAAATACAGTATATCTAGGAACATTCTAGAGTGTGGCTATCTTGAACCTTTTCCTCTTACTACTATCCAGTTCTGGACATGCAGTTTCTTGCTATGGGCCATTCTCTGGAGTATGTTGCCTCTTTCCTTGGAAGTTGTGGCGCTATAACCAAGTAATTTTCTCTCTATGGTCTTCCCGCCACTCTTAATACGTACTCTGTCTTTCTTAACTCTATTATTACTGTTGATATTATTAAATGCAGATACTCAGAATATTAACAGCTGATGAATTGGGTGCGCTTAAAAATTTAAGGAATTTAAGGAACAGAGATGTTATAGGGCCAGAGCAAAACTTTTAACAACTGCCCTAAAAGCGTTTTATGATTGATCATGAACTTTTCTCCTAGTATATACCAGAACAGTTGCTAACTTTCTCAAGAAAGAAGTTGTCCCTTTAACATTTACATTATGATTCCATTCCGGAATCTTGTTGTAGTGTGCCTTTTTAATACTCTGCCAGTATCCAAATGGGGATTTGAGTGGAGCTCTGACAGGATATAAACAGGCCTTTGAAGGTTGCTCTACCCTAATTTCAATGCTTTGAAATCCAACCATTAAGGCAAAAATGGCCACAACCCCCTTAAATATTTGCTTTTAGCTTACTAAACTGAAATCATTAGCTTATTTGCTTTTATTTATTTATTTATTTATTTATTTATTTATTTATTTATTTATTTATTTATTTATTTATTATATTTCTATACTGCCCTTCTCCTGCGGGACTCAGGGCGGTGTACAGCCAGGATAAAACATAGCATATAAAATTTAAAAACATTTTAAAAAACAATTTTTTAATATAAAAGCTCAAATGGTAAAACTAAAAAAAACCTCATACCATACTTTTCAAAGTATAAGACACAGTTTTTTCCCCCTAAAAGAAGGTGGAAATGTTGGTGCGTCTTATACACCGAATACAACCATTTTTGGCCTCCCGAAGCCCCCGTACATCCCATTTTTCTCAAAAACAGGGCACACAGAGGCTTTGGGAGGCCTACAGAGTGCTCCTGTGGGCTGGGGAGGGCAAAAACGGGACACACAGAGGGTTTGAGAGGCCTGCAGAGTGCTCCTGGGGGCCGGGGAGGGCAAAAAAATTTTTTTTTCTGCTTACCTCTTCGAAATCTTGGTGCGTCTTATACACCAGTGTGTCTTATAGTCCGAAAAATACGGTACACAGCTTGCATCAATATGGTTACCCAATTCTTAGTATATTAATTAAATGCACAAGTAAGAGTCAGTTTGCTTATTTGTGATTTGGAATGAGTTCCGACACTGTCATTTGTAATGAAAGTTTAAGGCCTAGTCCATTGCATGACTCAAGTCATTTATGCCGTTTGATAAAAATTATACCAATTTGAATATGACCAAGAATATATAAATCTTCTTGATAGAATGCTTACTTACACCCACTGCTTGGGACACCTACTATGGCTACAATTTAACATATTTAGAAGAGCTCATTGGAATTTCTTTCATAGTAAATAAAAAACAGAAATGTGCATTTCCCATTTTCATTACTCACTTAAAAAATAAATAAATCCTGAACTAGAAGTTTAATATAAAAGAAGAATCATGTTCATGAGTGATGGAGAAATCAACTTACATCTCTGTCCAGAACTCGTCCAGTGCTGTTGAGATAAAGTCTCTGGTTGATAGGATCTAAAATGACCCAGTAGTCTGTGTTATCCTTTAATGTGAGTTCAATAGTGGGATCAGGTCCTCCTGCTGTTCCTTTGATCAACATGCTGTCTACCAAGATTGTGCCTGAAACAGAAAGCAGGGAAGGCGCATCTGTAAGTGAAATACAATTCTGAGAAAGACAACATCAAATTGATCATTACCATATGCTACACTGACCTGTGATGAGTTTGCCTGCTTAAAATACAGTCAACTATCATCAATAATTTAACATTAAAACAACAACAACAACAGAAATGGCCACATCAAAGCCATATGTATTAAAGACAGAAAACAAACACAAGGAGTAATAGCATTTATTCAATAGACCCAGCAAGAGAACCTTATTCACTGAAGTATAAACTAAGATAGTGGCCCTCAACCTTTGGGCACCAAAGACTGGTTCCGTGGAGAGAGATTTTGCCGCGGACTGGAGGGGACATGGTTTCGCGTACGACCTGCATCCTGAAAATGGGTTTCGCTTATTTGCACGGCCCAGTTTCTGGCAAGCTGTGGCCCAGTGTCTGACCCTGAACTAAGAGGTTTGAGATCAAACATATGAGGGAACTGAAGCATCAACAAACTGCTCCCTTTCCTGGATTATAATTTCATTTAGATTGGTGCATGCTTATCAGTGGTGAAATCAATTTCTTTTTACTACCGGTTCTGTGGGCATGGCTTGGTGGGCGTGGCAGGGGAAGGATACTGCAAAATCCCCATTCCCTCCCCACTCCTGGGGGAAGGATATTGCAATATCTCCATTCCCATCCCACTCTGGGGCCAGCCAGAGGTGGTATTTGCCGGTTCTCCGAACTACTCAAAATTTCCACTGCCAATTCTCTGAACTGCTCAAAGTTTCTGCTACCGGTTCTCCAGAACCTGTCAGAACCTGCTGGATTTCACCTCTGATGCTTATTCTTTCTAGTTATTTGATGCACAAAGTATTGTAAACTGCAAATTAACAGCTCTTATTAAACTTTGCCCAAAGACATATTCTCTTCAGCTGAAATGTGTTATTTAAATTAAAAGAGCCTTGGTAGTACAGTGGTCTAAGGCACCCTGTTATTAAGCTGGTTATTAAGACCAGCTGCCTGCAATTACTGCAGGTTTGAATCTCGCCAAGGCTCAAGGTTGACTCAGCCTTCCATCCTTTCTAAGGTAGGTAAATTGAGGACCCAGTTGTGGGGGCAATAAGCTGACTTTGTATAAATATACAAAAGGATGAAGGCTATTGCTGAGCACATTGTAAGCCGCCCTGATTCTCCAGAGAAGGGCGGCATATAAATCAAATTTAAAAAAAAAAGAAACAACATTTTTGCATCTTTGTTTGATTGTTTTAGAGTAATTCTTGCAGGTTGATTTCCCAGGCTAAAAAACTGATTGGCCCACAGTCTGCCATTGAGATTCCATGTGTTGTGTAAGCAATATGAGCATGGTTCATTTGGATAGCATGATATCAAGATGATTGAGATAGATAGATAGATAGATAGATAGATAGATAGATAGATAGATAGACAGACAGACAGATAGACAGACAGACTCACACATGCAGCATAAGGTTTAACGGAGGATCCTTGTTGGTTTCTGAGGTTGTTTGTTTGTTTGCAGATATTTCATTCCCCAGATAGGTAAAAATGTAATTGCAACATCATCATCACACAGATGATGTTACCTAGTCAGGTAACATAATATTTGCAAGCAAACAAGCAACCACAGAAACCAACAAGGATTCCATAGCATAATACTGTGTTTCTCAACCTCAGCAATTTTAAGATGTGTGGACTTCAATTCTCAGAGTGCTGGGCATGACAGTCCAAACATCTTAACTTTGCTAAAGTTGGGAAACATTGGCATAGAACAGGGGTGTCAAACTCAATTTCAGGGCTGTGGTTGACCTCGGGCAACCAGCCAGGCGTGGCTGACTGGATGGGTGTGGCCAACTGGGTGGCATGGCCACCTTGATGCCACTCCCCAAACTGCTGGCATGTTTCCTCTTTGCATTGGGTAGACTGGGCCGAAGCCACACTGGCCTGATCTTTCTTCTTTGCATTGGGTAGACCAGGACGGCCCTGCAGGCCAGATCCAACCATATTGTGGGCGGGCCTTGAGTTTGACACCCCTGGCATACAATGTACAATAGTTGAATGTCTGGGTGCATGGGAGGAGGAGGGGAGAGTGAGAGAGAGAAAGTGACAAAAGAGGCCTGCCCCCTTTTTTTGCAGTTCAAATTAAAGGGATTATATTTGATTGAATCTCTATGCCAGTTGCATCCAAACCTTTGGCTTGCCTGGGCTACTTTTGAGTGAAAAGAAATTAACTTGGGCTGCATATAAAATACATAACATAGTTAGTTGACATAAATAACAAATTTCCTTCATTTTTTATATTTTTATTATATTGTAGGGCCACATTATTAACTGTTTAAGGCTGAATTCAGCCCATGGACTACAGGTTGGACACATCTGCTCTATACCTTTTCGTTTATAATTCAAGCTCTTTGGATATAAAGCTTGAAATGTGGCTGGGAAAAGATTAAAAATAATCTTTTCACTGACTGCAGCCTTCAAGAAAATTGGGGATGGAGGTGATAGAGACCTACTCTATAATTTCAAATGAATATTCAGTGCAGCATCTACTTTGGTTCTGATTTACTTTACCATGTTGGAGCATGGCCTTAAACGCATTCAGAGAGCATTTATCTATCACAAGAGTTAGTTTCAGTTTCTTATTCCTTCTGGTATTAATCCCAAAGGCACGTAATTCTCCTGTCACTTCCTTAAACATTTTAAGACTGTCCTTTAGCTAACCACCTTGCTATTACACTTCTGAACTTTAAGTCCATGTGTCAGCTTTTTGAAAAAAAAAATGCCTTCCTTTCAATGCCTTTTATATTTTGAACATTTCTTTTAGTTGCTCAGAGCCAGTTTTTGTCCTTCAGCTAAAATGCCAGTTTGATAACCTATTCCTTCTACATATGAAAGCTGGAGATAAGATTTTGATGTGGCATACATATATTTCATCCTACTGGCAAACACAAAGCAGACGGCTGTGATGTGAGCCCCAGGTTGACAAGTAATTTCTCACTGGAGTTATAATCTGAACCATACAAGAGCAGAAAGGACAACAGCATTAGTTTCACCTATTGGCTTCCTTTGGCATAGCCAAAGAACAAACTCAGGTCTTTCTAACACTTGTCATCTATTCCTGCCTGGACAGAAATATCACCTGGGGTGGTTGTTCAAGACCATGAAAAGAGTTAAGGCAGAGGTTAAGCGGAACAAGCAGCTGAGATGCACCAGACAAAACAGAAGGAATTACAGAAGAAACAAACAATTCTGTCCTCATCATTTCTTTTTAACATTTACAAAAAGAGTCCAGAGTCCTTTGCTTGTATACTGACAACACGATGATCATTATTACACTTACTCATCTTACTGTTATATATTATTTCTAATCCAGCACAGTAACCAGCGATGTCTGCAGGAGGGAAGGGGTGTCTAAAAATCAATAAAAAAACATTTGACTAGCACTGATGATATTACCTAGTTTGGTAATGAAATGTCTGCAAGAAAACAACCAAGTTCAGAGAGCAGCCAAAGATCTCTTGGCATCAAAATCTGCAACCTGGTCTTATATTTTATTTTCCCCTCCAAAAGAGGCATTAGATCTTATTTTTCAGGGGTGTCTTCCATTGTTTCACCTCGCCCAGCAAGGAAAGGGAAGGCTTCTGATCAGTGGTGGGATTCAGCCAGTTCTATTTGGGAGAACCGGTTGTTAACTTTCTAAGCAGTTCGGAGAACCAGTTGTTGGAAGAAATCTTATTTTATTTTTTCCCACTTTACAGGGCTAATCCTGTAAGGAAGGCAGCAGGGAAACATTCTGGTGCTGTTTCTAGCCTGATCTTTATTGCCCTCTTTACAGAAACTGCCTCTCTGGTTAACTCTTATTATATTGTAACATGTGAGTGATGTTGAGTTGGGCACGCCCACACACTCACATGCCCATCGAGCCATGACTACCCAGCTGGTCATTGGGGTAGAGAACCGGTTGTTAAATTATTTGAATTCCACCACTGCTTCTGATGGTGAAATGGAGGTTGGGGGTGCGCTGCACATGGGCCAGCCAGGTGAGGCAGATGTCGGGGTGTGGGAGGCCTTGCTGCAACTGTCCTAAGGTAAGTGGATGCAGGGCACTTGGGGCAGCTCTACCCCACATCCCTACCCTAACTTGATTTTTACATGTGCACCTTGCCCCTTCTTGTGCAACCAGGTACAATGGAGTGGGCAAGGTCTTAGCTAGGGCTTATTTTGGGGGTAGGGTTTATATTGAGTGCACATGTAAAAATCAAGATAGGGCTTATTTTTGGGATAGGTCTTATTTTTAGGGAAACACGGTATTTATATTTAGAACTTGGCAGCATTTCCTGAAATGAGACCTCCCTCCCATTTGTGATCATTAGCTATGTAATTAAATTTTAATCAGGAAAGGCACATTTTTAATTTGGACCCTATGCTGCAATGCCCACAAGTATTTGATATGGGTTCACCCACATATTTCTGATATGGCTTTACTTGTATATCTTGTTTAGTTAATATCCAGGTTACCAATCTCTTCTGAAGAGCAGAGATGGATAACATCATATTTCTCCATATACTTCCTAGCCCACAGAAAAAGTAGGCCTTGGGGTTTTTTTTTCCTTCTAGCTATGATTCAAAAGTAATGCTTTCTGGTCCAGCTGCTTTGAGACCTTCAGAGTGAATCCTTTCAAGAATTCCATTCTAATATAGCCCCAGCTATGATTAGCTGCATTGCTTGCAATGTCCTGTTACCTTGGCTAACCGCTATTCTGCGTAGCTACAGTATATCCCCCTGGGCTGCCAGGTTGTTTATATTTCTTCTCCTTTTCTTGATTGTTTTAAAATTTACAATTTCAAAAATGCAAAACAACTGGTCGTTCTTGTTTACCCGATGCAAGTGAGACAAGCAGCTCAGGTTTTTTTTAGTGAAACAGTTGCTAAATGAAAGTCACGATGGTGATAATGTTTCCAATTTTACTTCAGCTTTCATTTGCTTTATAGCATCAATAA